CCTGCGCCCGTTAATTCCGCAACCGCCCGTCTTGCTGACGGGGACACTGAGGTGGGAAGCAGGTGGGGCTGGAGGGCGACCTCAGGAGGGGCCCAGCTCCTCCGCCCCTCCCTCCCGTGGCCACACTTGTTTCTGAAGCCGGCCAAGGCCACTGCCTTGCGGCAGGTGTTCATCTTTCCAGGCCGCCCGACGGCGCAGGCGCCGACCCCGAGGGACATTTTACACAGCGCTCAGTGGTCTCCACGGAAAACCCCAGGGCACCCTGTGCGTGGCGGCGCAGACCAAGATGATTAGTGGTTCCGGGCCATCCCCAGCGCGAGTGTTTAACACCAGCAAAGAGCAATCAGCGCTCAAGGATCGCTCTTCGCGGATGAAGGACACGGCTCCTGCTTTAATTACAAGGGAAACCTGTTCAGGGAAATTAACACCGAGACGAGACGGGCCACTTCAGGGCTAAGAAAACCACCACAAAAGCCACGGGAGCCCCCGGTGCGGCGCCAGAGCCCCAAGCCACGCCAGGAAGGCGCCCGGCGCCCAGGAGCGCGTCCGAGTGCCCGAGCGAGCGAGCCGCGAGGCCCACGGTGGCGGCGGCCGCGCCCCCTGCGAGGTGCTTCCTCCTGACGTGAGCTCCTGCCCCCTGCGCCGTCATTCCAGGCAACGCGAGAAACAGAAAAATCGGAGAAATAAACACACGCGCGTCCCTCCGCCGAGGTCCGCACCCCTCTCCCCCCGGCCTGCTCTGGGGGAGGCGTCCTGTAGGGGACACGTCGGTGCTGCCTTCTCCTCGCCAACCGTGCCCGGGCACCGGCAACCCTGGCCTGGCGTGATTTTTCCCAACCGCGCCCCTTAATCCCGCTGACCTTTCTCCCTCCCGCTCTCACCCTCAGAAACCGGGCTCGGTGCGAGCCCCGCGGGCTCTGCTCTGGGAGGCCGTCTGCTGGGAGCGGCCCTCCCCGGCCTCTGCCGCCCCGACGCGCCTTGCCGACGTCCCCCCTGCAGCTCCTTCCCTCTCGCTGTGAGGCGGGCACCGCCCCTTCCCTCTGGCTCGCACACACTTCTCAAAGGCTTTCTCACGGGTCCCCCACGGCGCGCTGTGTCCCCAAAACCCTCCCTGGTGGCCCCAGGACACCGGCCTCCGCCCACCGTGGCTCACCCCCCGGACAGTTCTCAGCTGTGAGACCACTGGGCCGGCCAGTTTGCGGCGATTTGTCCTTCCTCGTCACGACCCGGCGCGTTGTCAGCAGCGGCGGGCACGGTCAGGGAGGCGGCCGACTTGGAAATACAACTGCCAGCTCGTCGAGGCCAACGTGTCCCCTGCTCTCGGGCTGAGGGGTCAGCCTGTGTCACAACCGAGGTTCTCCGCCTCCCGCTCGTGATGTGGGCAGGGACCAACCCCGCTGTGCCTCAGTTTCCTTATCTGTAAAGTGGGCGCAGCAACATGTTACTACGTAGAACTGTTGTGGGGGGGACGGGGCAGGGCCTGGCGGACGCACCCTGGGTCACTAGCGATAAGGGCCTCGGGGCCTGTCACCGCTGAGGCTGGCTGCCCCCTTGATGTTCGCGGTTTAGTTACACCACGAGCTGTTCTTGGGACACAGGACGTCTGAATTCACGAAAGTGATACACGAAACAAAACTTAGGTTTTCAAATGGAGAACAGTCTGTGCTTAACGTGGGGCACCAGGAGGGCCTGCGTCGCCGGGACCAGGCGCTGTGTTGAGGCGTCCAGGATGCCGACGACACCAGGAGGCTGCTGTCCACACGCTCGCGCCCGCAGGCCCTCGGCAGCCACGCTGAGGCAGCCACACGCCTGCCTCCTGAGTGAACACGTCCCGCGGGCCAGCAGCCGTCTCTCCGCTGTGGGGTGGTCTCGGGTGAGGCTGATCCCCAGTGGCATCCCCTGGACGAGGCCAGCAGCCACCCAGAGTCCTTGCAGGACACCCAGGCAGCCTCCCAGCCTCCCGTGTCTTAGCCGCTCATGTCAGACTGCCATCCACGAGGCAGCCCGTCCTGTGGGGTGAGGAGGCTGAACCAAGATAATCTCAAAGAAACAGCAGATGAAGCCTTGAACGAGCCACGCCTGAAGGCCATTCTACCTCTTCGCTTTGCATTCTACACTTAGCTTTCAACTCTGACAAGCCCTGATTATGAAAACCAGCTTGAACTGGCTTCCCTGTGCCACCCAAAGGGGTCTGGGCTTCGGCAGTGCTGGCTGGCGCGTCCCCACCCTCGCCTGCGACGCCCATGCAGAGAGGAATGTCTGAGACACTCCTGTCCTGTGCCGTCCCTGCCCCCGGGGTCCAGCTTTCTATGAACAAGGCTCTCCCCGAGGGACCCCACTCCCTCTGCCTCCTAAAGTTTGTGGGAAAGCTCCGGTGTCACCACCATGCAGGAGATTCCGGGGCACTGAGGTGGCACCGGGAAGCGCAGGGCCTGTGGGGCCTCCTGGTTCCAGTGCCCCCACCCCTGGTGAATTTATGGCACCCACCAGCACACGCAACCCCTTAAGCTCACACCGTGCCCGCCCGGAAGGCAGACAGGCAGCGCCGCAGAGACCCCGCCACGAACACACCGGAAGCACAAGTCCCCCGAGGCGGAGGCAGGACACGGGAGACGGGCTCTCCAGGGGCCAATGCCCAGAGCCAGAGCCCTGCAGAGCCCCGTGTGGCTGGATCTGGCGAGAACCCAGGCCAGGCCACAGCTTTCAAGCCCAAGAGGGAGCGTGAAGGTGCCGAAATCTTAAAGAGCAAAGCTTGGTTCAAAGCGTGGTCCGCAAGTGCAGGCTGCAGCATGCGTTTTTAAGGAGAAAATAACTCAGGACGCATTTTGAGTTCCCTCAAATGGAGGGACGCAGGCCGGCCACGGCGGGGGTGGGGAGTGGGGACGAGGGGTGGGTTGCGCACCAGGACCCTGGGTGTCCCCCGCAGCTCAGCAGCCCCAAAGGCGCCAGGGATGGTGTTCCCCAACACGAAAATCCACCTGAGCCACGTGAGTGTGTCTCAGATGACCCCTGCGAGGTCAGCACCTTCCCTGCCCTTACAGAAGCTCGGGCCCTCGGCGCAGACCCCCCAGAGGGGCAGGCGGCTGAATCGGCAGAGCCCCGCAGCCGGGAAGGGCTGGAGCCTGGTCTTCCGAACACGAGCATCCACAGGAGACTCTCCGAGCCGCACGAGGCAGCCTGGGAACCAACAGGGAAGAGCGAGGCTGGCGTCCAGCCTCCCGCCCCCACTAGGGTGCACCCCGCGCCAGCAGCCGCTCGGGCGTGGCTGTGCAGGGCCAGCCCCCGGGCCGGCAGCACCAACCGGCAGCCCGGAGCCAGCGTCTCCAGGGTCCAGGCTCAGAGGGTGCCGGCACGAAACCGCTCTCCAGGGGCAGTGCATGCGCGTAGAGCAGAGGCTAAAAGCAGTGTCAAAAGAGGCGTTTTGAAGACAGAAGCAGAAACTCTGCGCTCCCCGTGCTCCCAGAGGCTCCAATCCGCCCGCTGAGCCTTCTCGGCGGCCCAGCGGCTCCGCGTGGCGGGGAGGCCCGCATGCTCCAGCGGCGCCGCGCTCCCACGGACAGTCCGGCCTGGCCCGGTCGCCAGCTGAGCGGCGGTGGGTGCCTTTGCATCTGCAACCCTCATTTATTATTTAAGCCCAAGAAGCAGCAACAGCTCTGTCATCCCTGGGAGCCTCTCCCTCTGTCACACGCACACACGCGCACATGCACACACGCGCACACACAGGAAGAGGACTTACATCACAGCCGCATCCTACAGGAGATGATTCAACCCGGCCCCGCACCCTCACGGGGTTACACTTCCAGTTAGCCCACGAGACCTCGCGTGTCCCCCATCACCCTGGAAACACGCCCCACAGTTTACATGGACGGGAATCCACATCGGCTCATTCTCCACGCGAGCCAGGCTCTGATTGGACAACAACCATTTCAGTACATCCCTCAGCAAATCAAAGGGGACCAACGCAGGCACCTGGAGTAAGTTAAAGCACCTTCTCCATCTTAGCTGCCTCCCTGCTCCCACAGCGTCTTTCCTTCTGGGTTTTCAACACCTGAACCGTCCGGAACAAAAGGCCGCCAGGAGCCAAAGCCCAACTCACAAAAAGCCTGGAAGCTTCGGCGCAGGGAGGGAGGTGGCTTCGGGTGGCCATCTGGCGGGGGCCGGGGCTGCGGTCCCCCCTTTCTGAAGGGCCCCGTCTGGGTGCGGAGAGCAGGGCCTGCCACCAGCGCACGCCCACGCCTTCCGCCTACCCGCCAGTGCCCACAGCGGACCAGTGCCCTGCAAGGCCTCTCCAAGAAATGTCAGCCCCGGCCAGGACACGGAGCCCACGGGACCTTTCCGAGCGGCTTTTGCAAGGCAGAAACTGTCCTCCACTTTCAGGAGCACCCCAGAGTAACACATTCCTTTGCACCACAAGGCGAGAAGTGACACCTAGACCTGTCACGGAGGGAGCTCAGCCTGCCGGCGCCAGGACGTCCCCACACAGTGGATGCCACCAGAGAAAAGGCGCGCGCCTGGGCCGAGCCGGCCTTCGACGCATCTGACTTGAAGCCTCCGCTTTGGACCAACAGCCACCCTTCCTGCCATGCTCGAAGGCCATCGGCCACCCAAGGGGCTGGTCGCCACAACGAGCAGACCCATGAACCCTCGCGCCCGAGAGCCACAGCGCCGCGCCACACCCCCATGGCTCGGGGGGCCACGGTGCCTTCTGGCGTCCATCACAGCCACAGCACCCAGAGGCCGGCCCGGGCCCCGCGCTGCGTGGCGACCACCTTTGTCCCTTTCTTTCAGGACCAAGGCACAGCTCCGCTTGCCCTTCCCGGCTCAGAGAGCGGCAGGCAAGGCCTCAGAGGTGGCCAGACACAGCACACGGCGCCCACGGTGGGCAACACCGCAGCCCTGCGCCCACGCCGCCTGCGCGCCCGTGCTGAGCCGCCGCCCGCCCCGGCCCAAGAGTCAGCGCTCTCCCCCAGCCGAAGCGGCCAACGCCGCCTTGTCCCTACCTCGATCAAGAAGTCCCCGGTCCTCAGTCCGGCTTGCCACGCCACCCCGCCTTCGTCCACCGACTCCAGGTACTGCAGGGCTGGGAACGCCGGCGTGGGCGTGAACTCCTCGATGGGCGTATCCGCTGGGGAGACAGGACACCTCGTCAGAGACCCGGCGGCGGCGTCCGAGTCGGCGGCCCGACCCACCCGGGGCCCCGGAGCCCCGCGTCTCCCGTCTCAGCACAGTCAGCCTCTCCGGCGGGGGCCGACGGCACGTGGGGGCCCCCACCTGGCTCTGGGCTCCGCTGACAACATGAACAACGTGCCGCGGTGCATGTCTACACGCCTGTCATTTTCTTTAAAAGCATCAGTGACTAAACATTTTCAGTTCTAAAAATGGAAAAGTTCCCCCCATAACCACACAGAGCGACAGAAACACGGCACAGAACCACTCGCCAAGCCACATCCGCGTAGACTCGCACCCGGGGGTCCGGCCCGAGCATGGACAGCGCAGCGCTGACCCAGTGGGCGGCCGCAGATTTGGAATCTGCTTATGGCTCCCCGGGACACCTGGCAGCCGGCGCCCACCAGAGTGGGCCCTCACTCCTCGGCAGAGAGAGCCCCGGCTTCCGGGCCCCCCGCGGCTGCCAGCAGAACTCCGGGCCAGCGGTGGACTTTCCCGGGTGGCTGTGAGCGGCCAGGGGCGGTGGGTGGGAGGATGAAAATGGCCTCGGCGGGGGAGGGGCGATCCCACACAGTCATGGACACACACGCGGGGACAGATTTATCCTCCTGCCTCGCCCTGGACGGCTTGCTGCTGGGGCCGCCTTAGCCCGGGGCCCGGGGGAGGCCGCCCACGGTGGGGCCGCTCCGGCACAGGTGTGGGACCCCAGCCCGGCAGAGGCTCCCGGGGAAGCGTGCACGTGGCTTACCCACACACGCGGTGGACAGATGCTCCTTCCTGGGGAGACGATGCCATTTTGTTTTGCTTTGCAAGGGAAGCCCCCAAGTTCAGGGCCTGTGGGGGGCCGCTGTTCTGGAACACACCCAGAGCCCACCACCCCGGGCCCCGTGATGCATGTGCGGCCAGCCGGGGCCACGGCAGAGGGGACCATCTTGCCACATTTCCTTTGCAAAGTCACCTTAGAGGCAGGCGCTGGCGCCGGCCACACTTGGAGCCAAAGTCCACTCCCAGACGGGGCCGCTTCCGGAGCCCGGAGCCCGGGACTAGCCGCCCCGGGGGTCTGGGAGCGGGACCCAGCCCGGTGCCCACCGGCCGCTCGGAGCCGGGAAGGACGGGCTGGACCAGGGGCCGCGGAAGCGAAGGCGTGCGGGGGCTCGTCGCGGACGACGCTGTGTATCGACAACTGAAAATCCCCCCAGGAAGCCGATGTTTTCTGAGTAGGGCAGGATGTTAAGGAACACGGTTGTCTAGCAACCAAGTGCCCCCAGGAAAAACGCTGCTCTCCGAGCCGGGAACGTCTTCCATACAGGCGTGTGCACACACACACAGACACAGACACACACAGACACACACACACACCCCATGTGCGTGTGGCCTGGCCGGGCAGCGGCTCTTACCTTTCGCCCCTCGCAGCACAAACCCGAAGCCCTCATTGTCCTTCTTCTGCAGGACCACCGCCTTCTCCTCGATGATGCAGTCGCTGTAGAGAGAATTCCGGGGACAGCGACCATTATTGTAACCCGTCATCATCGCCGAGGCTGCTCCTCCGCCGGGGACGTCCATCATCACGGCCAATTAATCAGCCCAGCTCGCCGGAGCCAGGCAGCACGGAGGCAGCTGGGAGGCACAGGGCGCAGGAGGAGCGAAGGCAGCTGGGGCGGGCAGGCTAACGGGATAGGCGGGCACAGCACAATGGGGCTCGGAGGGGGGGGCAGGCAGAGGCAGAGCCCGAGCGGGCGGGAGGAGGGAGGCAGACATGGTGGGGAGGCCGCTGGCGGGCGGCCGTGCACCCACCCAGGCGCAGGGAAAGCGGCCGGAGAGGCAGGGCCGGGGCGCCGGGCGCTGGTTCCGGGCGCCGGTGAGATCAGCCGGGGAGACCAGGCCTCCGTTTTTGTTCTTCTTCTGAAGGGCTCTTAAAAACCAAATCTGATTTGCTCCCGGCAGGAGCCGGCGGCGGCACCTGGAGACGCGAGGCCCCTCCCTCTGTCCCGGGAGCGCGGTCCCTGCGGTGCCCGGAGCCGGAGCCGGGACGTGCGGCCGCGCGGCTGCTCCGCCTCATCCCGTGCACGGAAGCCGCGGGCCGAGGAGGGGGCGGCCGGCCCTGCCCCCAGCAGCGGCAGGTGGGGCTGCGGGCAGGAGGAGGCGGTCACTCCGGTAACACCATGGCCTCCTTTCGGGGATGATGCATTGTGGGGACGGGGGAAGCGGGCAGGCGCCCCCCGCCGGGAGAGGCCACGGCCAGCCACAGCGCCTGCCTCCCGGCCTTTCTCTTTCAAAGGAAGGAGGCCAAGGAGCGGCAGGTCCTTCACAGAGGGGCGCAGACAGGAGTGGCCCCCGCGGCGGGGGTGGACGGTGCAGGGCCCAGGGGACTTCAGGGGCTAAGCCGTGGCCCTGCCCCACCTCTGGGGGGGGGGTGCGCGAGGGGAAGGCTGCCCCGGAAGTAAGTCGGGATTGGGAAGGCTGTGGAGGGAGGAGGGGCGGCGACAGGGAGAGGCTTCCTCCAGGGTCCTCGGGGGCTGGCACGGCGGGCCGGGCACTAGCACCTCGGAGGCCCGAGGGCGGCCTGGTGGCCCCGCGCAGCCCCCCTCAGAAGGGAGTCCTGGGGACACACGGAGCAAGCCGTGGGGACAACTTGCTCCGACAACCAGCTCCGAGCCTGTGACAGCTGAAGGTCAGCCCTGCCCGGCTGGAGGTGGCCCCTGCAGCGGGCAGCCGGCCGGGGCAGCGCCGGGGCCCGTGGGGGAGGGCCAGGACTCGTGGACAGGGCAGCCCAGGCGGGGCCACGACGCAGAGCGCACGTGATCTGACCACTCCCAGCCCCACCCCTCCCCCTGCGGGGATGGCTGGGCACAGGGCCCTCGGGAGACCCCACGCTGGGACGGGGCCAGCAGTGGGGACACAAGCCCAGCCAGGACCGCAGACGAGGGTGGCTCATGAACTTGGCAGGGGGACTCGGTGCCTGGACCGCCTCTGGCTCCCACCCACCGCGGGGCAGGGAGTCTGGCCGCGGGGGTGGGCCGCAGCCTTGAGACCCCTGGTCCCTGCTCAGTGCCCGGAGCCCATCACCGAGGCCCGAAGCCAGGTCCCATCACCTGCCCGGCTTCCGTCAGTCATGAGACTAAAACTGTCCCCACGTACTGAGGAGGGAGACCAGCCCACGGGCCTCCTGGCCGCACAGGGCGCACCTGCTACGTTCGATGGGAGGCTCCCGGGAACTGACCCATCAACCCCCATTGCCCACCCAGCAAGTGCAGGCGTCGAGGGGGAGGGGGCAGGCCGGGGGCCGGCACCAGGGCAATCACAACTTCTGCCAGGCCCCCCCACCTGCCTGTGTCCACAGCCACCCAGCCCCTCCCCTCGCGTGGTCGCCTCCAGGGACCGGCTCTCAAGGGTCCTGCCCGGAAGCCACGGCCTGTGCCTTTGCGCTATGCATCCTCCTGCCTGCGTGGCCACCTGCAGCCCCCGAGGCCCTGGAGCCCTGCCCCAGGACACGTGGCCCCCACCGGCCGCCTCTGCTCTCAGGGCCCACGTGGCTCAGACCTGCCCCAACTCCCAGAACCATTCCCTGTGGCGGCCGGGGGACGGCTGGGGGCGCCGCTACCTCGCCACCGACCTGGCAGGAGGGCATCCAGCGAGGCAGCTGAAGGTGCAGGGCCAGACCCAGCTGTGCGCTCACCCCAAGGTCACCCTGACCTTGGGGCTTCAGGGTCCCTTTCTGCAAAATGGGACTAGTGAGGTGCCTGTTCACCCCGGGAGGGATTCATGAGCAGGCGCCCAGCTGGCCCCGCCGCGCCAGGGTGCCCCAGCCCACCGGAGAGCCTCCAGCTTGCACTCGGGGGGCCATCCCCGGGCCCCGCAGACGCGGAGCTGTCGCCGCAGGAGGGCGGGCGGCCTGACCTGCTCTTCCCCGCACTGTTCCAGGAGCCAGTGAGCTCCGTTCCTGCCCGAGGACCCCATTTCATGTCGCGGGTAGACCTGGCTAGGCTCCCCCTTGGGGATCACCGGCTTAGCTACCAGGAGACTCAGTTTCTCCTCCTGCAGAGTGGGGTGATAGAAGCTGCCTCGCAGGCTCTCCATGAGGGCAGGCCCCCACGGCCTCCCGCATGGCACCCCCGCTCCCTCCCTGCATCCAAGAGAAGCGGCTCCTGGAAGGCAGCGACCCCCGAGCACCCGCGCGGGAGACACAAGGAGATATTCACGGAATGGGTGGAGCAGATGAGGGTCCAGCACGGATAGCGGGGTGTTGTGGGAGGTGCTGAAGGAAGGCCTGGGGCTTCCAGGGGGATGTGGGGCGGCAGGTGGGGTGGGGCAGAGCAGGCAGTCGGCTCTGCCCAGTGCCGAGAGGAAGCGGGAAGCACTGCGGCTGGGGAGCAATTCTGGGCCTCGCGGATCCGGGAAAAGCAACAGGAAACTCGAATGCAAGCGTCAAGCCCTCCAGACAGGGGGAGGCAAGGTCGCCAAAGAGCTCTGCCTCCACCCTGTGGGCCAGACCGGGAAACCCATAGGTCACGCACCCGAAGTCTGTTCATTTGACCCACAGCCCCCAAGTGCACTGAAGCCCCAGCCCCAGCCAGCGTCCACCCACCCTGGCCACCGGCCACCGGCCAGCCTGCACCTCTGCCCTCCAGCAGCAGCCCGAACGCATCAAGATTCACTGGGGCACGCCCCCCCGCCCCCCGCACCTTCCCACGCTGCTGACCTTGGTGAGTGCTCAGAGGTCACTGTCACCTGGCTCCGGGAGCCTGCCTAGTGAAACACAGGCCCCACCCCCAGCCATCATGCCACACCCCACTTTGCATCTCCTGGGCAGAGGGCAGATCACAGCCCACCCTTCCTGCTGGCCACCTCGGTTCCCCAGATGACCTGAACTCCAGCTTCTAGTCAGCCCTCATGCGCACTCCCAGGCTGGCCACGAGCAGCCCCACCTGTGTGGCTGGTGCACAGTCGGTGAGGCTCACCTGCTTGCTGTAAACAGATAAAGCATCTGACCCAGCTGCATCCTCTTCCAGAGTGTTCCCTGAACACAGTGGAGGACAACTGGGTCCCGACGGTGCCCACAGGACGGGGTGGGCGAGGAGCGGCAGGGCGTGCAGGTGGCACTCCATGCAGCGGGCGCCCCACAGCACAGCCGAGGAGGGGCAGGCGCCTTTTCCAGTTTGTACAAAGTTGCCTTGAGAAGGCGAGACCTCCCCTGCCACCCTCCACCCCCCGGGCCTGGACCTGGAGCCACATGGCGCAGCCCGCACGTGCCTGCAGGGAAGCATCCACGGAGGCCACAGGGGCTCCTGAGTATACTGACGCCCCCTGCCCTGCAGCAGCAGGAGCCGCACCCCAGCCTCAGGGCCCCAGGGCCCCGGAGGTAGGGTCTGGGAGGCAGCGTGTGCCAGCGTGCCAGCTGGCGCTCAGGACTGCCTGTCTCTGACGGCGCCTTTGGCAGCGGCGCCTAGTCCTGGAGGAGGCGCGAGCAGGAGCCGGGAAGCCAGCGGGGTGGGAGACGCGGGAGCACGTGGGCCGGGATCCTGCGGCCCTGTCCGCAGGGAAGTGTCGTCACAGGCATTTTAGTTTTGAACACGAGCCGGCTGGGCAGACCAGATGGCCTCACCAGCTCTCGGGACCACGGCTAGGACGTGACCCAGTCGGGTTGAGCAGCCGCCCTGCATCTCTGCTCCCCTGGGTGGGGCTTTGGTGGGGGGTCTGGTGCGCGGCTGATGTTCAGAAGCCATCAGGGCCACTGGCAGAGCGGCCTTGTTGGTCCTGTGGGGTTCACTGAACACCTGCAGGCAGCAGGTGATGGGGTGGGGCTGCTGAGGGAACAAGCAGGCAGGCCCCGCCCGGCGCTTTGGAGGTGCCGGGCACAGTGGGGGGAGTGGCAGCCCCTCAAAAATAGGCCCATGTCTTAACCCCATGCCTGCCGTGTGTCAGCATCTGGAAATAGGGTCTTTGCAGATGTGGCTGGTTTTCCTCAAGGCAAGATGCTCCTAGATTCAGTCAGGCCCTAGGTCCAAAGAGTGGGCCTTCTCATGAAAAAGATGCGGGGCTGGGACAGAAGTTAGACCCGAGATGCAGAAGATGTAAGGCCATGTGAAGACAGAGGGGGGTGCCTCGCAGCCACAAGAGAGGCCCCCCTGGCGGACACCAGAGCCGGAAGGAGACTCCCAGAGCCGTAGGCGAGAGCGCGGCGCTTGACACCCTGGGCTCAGACTTCTGGCCTCCAGGCTCTGAGAGAGTAAGTCTCTCTCGGAAGCCCCCGGTCTGCAATCATTTGTTCAGTAAACTTGGAAAGGGCACCAGGAAAGTGGGAAGAGAAACATTAACCCGAAGCCACCCAGAAGTGCAGGATCTGGTGGTGTGAGAAGGCCTGGAGGAGCAAATGGGTTGGGAGGCTGGAGAGGCAGAGGGAGAAGAGAACTTTCCAGATAGAGGGACCACATGAGTGAAGGTCCTGAGGGTCACCGAGTGACCCTGCAGGCCAGGCGAGGC